ATTATAGATCTCGACGAGGTCTACAACTTTCTAGTTTTAAGTTTTTTCATTTAAAGTCGTTAAGATACTCAAAAAAAATTAATGACATATTTAGACTTAAGGGTATTTTCGATTTTTCACACCTACAGTTTGACGGTGTTAGAGCTCAAACTGACGGCAGTGGCATGGAGGGCGCAAAAAAAGTTAGAGCAGTGATGCTGAAAACTGCTGAACTTTTTCAGAGACTCACATAGCATTGCGATCTTTTTTTAATGGCACGCTGGAAATTTCCCTTGAATAATGCAACAAAACAAAAGGAGACTCGCGCAAGAGTGCGTCAACCCACGTTCCCCCTCGGTTGCCCTCGCCGGAGGAGGAGAGAGAAGGACACCGGAGATCCGCCATGGCCGCCGCCGCTGTCGCCGACCCTCCTGGTACGTGCTGCACAGCCTTGACCTTCCATCATCCCCTCCCCTGCACGTCTCTCAAGCTGAAAAAGCTCCAATAGAAGTTGGGCCTGGTTTACTTTGCAAGTTTTTTCAATCCGATAAATAGTACCACTTTCGTCTTATTTGGTAAATATTGTCCAATCGTGGACCAACTAGGCTCAAAAGATTCATCTCGTGATTTCCAACTAAACTGTGTAATTAGTTTTTTTTTACCTATATTTAATACTCCATGCAAGCGGCTAAAAATTGATATGATGGAGAGAGAGTGAAAAAACTTGGAATTTGGATGGCATCTAAACAAGGCTTAGAAAAAGAAAATGAGTACTCGAGCTTCATTGATGGCGGACGTAAAGCTGAAAAAGCCCTGTCATTGATGGCGAAAATTGAATGCTTGTTTGATTGCAAAAAGTAGGTGTATTTCTCTCGTATCTCTTTGCCCGATCTATGCTGGATTGCTGGTTACCTTGCCCCCCATAGGCGATAGCTAACACTTTCTGCTGCCAATCGCCATGTGGCATGTGTTTCCTTCCTCCCGTCGCCTCCGAGCACGTACAGGCTACTTCGTCGGCCACCCGTTGCACTACCAGGACCAGCAGCCACAGGCGGAGCCGCCGCCGGCGGCGGCGGAGGCGGCCGTCGACGACCAGAACGCTGTGAACGCACAAGTCCCTGGTGCGTTCGTGTTTCAGTTCAGTTCTTGCTTCCAGCTTCCTTCCTTCCCTGATTTCTCTTTCTCTTCTAGTAAACTTTTCCCATTGCATTTCGTGTTAATTTTTTTATGAAACTGGATCGGAATTTTTTTCCGGGCAAGAGCAGGTTACTACAAAGGGCGTGTGCATTCGAGACCAAGCGATGGCACTGAACACAATAACAACGCTGATGCTGCAGTTCAGCCGAATCGAGAACCGGGCTTCCTTGCCAAATTGTAATGAACCGTTTGATGTATGCTTTGACTTGTGTAGAGACTGCTCAGAGCTCAAATCTGCTAATTGCTGTCAGTTTCAACGGTTTGATGCATGGTTCTCCGTTTGTTGTGCTCAGGTTCGGCGGGTGCTTCTCCGGCGGCAGCGGAAATTCGAATTAGACCCGTGAGGCCATGACACATCCCTGCGGGCAGTTCAGTGAAGGACATTCTGGCTCAGCACGCATCGCACTGGTGCTTGTCTGGACGGATTGCAGTTGCAGGATCTTGAAATTCTCTGTTCTTTGTCAATTTGTAGCATCTTATTCTTAGCTAGAGTCAGTGAGGTTGTTCGCTGCACATGCTACCATTCGATTTTCGCTGCACTTGTGTAAACTGTAAACGGAGGGTTTATTTCATTCCTATAAAATATGGTGCTGTGTGTAAAGCCGGACCATTTTATGAGCAAGTTGGCAACTTTCCTTTTTTTTTGGTATAAACCTCAGTTCAGTTGTCATAAGAGTTCTCCCCCGAATTGATACAAAACACATTGGCTGAAGAGTTTTCACATCCAATGGGCTGTCTTTCCCGTAAATTGGATCAGTGGAGAAATTTCTTTTGAGAGCAATGGCCCTCTAAAGTATACTAATCTAATCTAGAACGCCACATGATCAGACAGCGGGAGAACTGCTTATACGGTACAGGTACTATTAGAGCCATATTGCAAACTACTAAAATGGCAATTGCACGATTGCAGAAAGCCAGAAACAGAAAATGTGATAGCAGCATTCTATCTTCCTTTCAGGCACTAGACTAGAGATTACGAAGATTTGAAGACCAACTCAATCATTAGCGTTTTTTTCTAAAAAAAACTCAATCATTAGCTTGTACTAGGCTACTAGCTACTAGCTAGTGATGGTGGCAGCAGTAGACCCACTTGCAAAACCGCACCCAGTAGCCCAAGGTCCGACGTGGTTGGTGGGAGTGGGAGAACCTTGTTTTCGTTTCGAGAACTGGACGACCGGTGATGCCAAGTCTTCGTAGTCAATCCCTTATTACCAGGTCGACCAAAGCTGCATACCTTGCCTAAAGCCATATCTTCCCCGTCCAGCCGTCCTGTCCAACAAACACACGGGGAGACCTGCACAGCTCTCTCGGTCTCGTCTCTCCACCCTTTCTCCTCGTCACAGGGCGGAGGAATCGCTCGCCGGAGCTCCCATCCGATCCGCTAATGGCTGACAGCAGTCCCGCTCCGGGTAGGCTCCTCAACCTCACCCATCATGTGTGTGTGTTAATGTTCATTCGCCGGATCCACTCAATTCTCCCTCCTACCGAATTACATGGTTGATGGTTCTTTCGCTACCCGTTGGTGCTGGTGCAGGCTACTACTCCGGCCCTCCCGCCGCGCCGCACGACAAGCACAAGGCGCCGCCGTCCGAGTCCGGAGCCCGTTGACGGCCAGGTCAACGCCTCAGTCCCTGGTGCGTGCACTACCTACAGATCCGGAGATCCAAGCGTTTCTTCTTCTCCTAAAATTCCTCGTTTCGTTTCTCTCTCAATCACGTTTGGTTTGCGCGGCTAGTGTCTGTTGACTGTTAGTAATAACGGACCTTCGCGTTTGGCAAGAGCAGGCGGCTACTACTCCGGCGGCCCTTCGAAACCTGGCGCCGGCGGCGTGGGGCAGCTCCTCTGCTCCCTAAGGAATCGGGCTTCTTCTCCAGCTGGTGAGCATTCAGAGCTCAAATGATCAAATTAAATCTAGTCGCTGTTTCCTGCTCTTTTGATTTCACTTGATTATACCTTCGCTGATGGCTCGCCGTTTGTTGTATGATGTATCATCAAGTTGTGCGTGCTTCTCTGGCGGCGAAACCGCAAGATAGATTCTCAGTGCTGGACCGAGACCGAGAGGACCATGGATGGCAGATATGGCAGTGATTGTGTTGGGTCGACGCAAATTTGTTCAGATTTATTTTCTTTGAAAATTGAAATATATATTTTCGGCAGTGGCGTTTTCAATTTGTACAAGCGTTGTATGCACTATGAAGAAGCAGAGTCAGTTTACCTTTTGAAGAAATTTGTTCAGATTTATTTTCTTTGAAATATATATTTTCGGCAGTGGCGTTGTCAGTTTGTACAAGCATTCTATGCACTATGCAGAAGCACAGAGCCCCCGCAGCCGCAGCCGAACAGCCCCAAAATCAGGTAGTCTCTCATACAGTTTACCTTTTGAAGAGATGCTCTAGCTGTTCGCTTGGTCGTAAACGATCGTAAATTTCCAGCCGGAACAGTATTTTTTTCTTACATCAAACTAGCCAGTAGTACTTCTTCACGATCCAGCCACGAACAAGCACAGCTGTGAAGCTTCACTTCTGCCCATATTAGTTTTAAATAACAAATTCACTTTGTATGAAGAGGCAATGATTCTACTAGTCGAGGCAATGTACCGCATTTACCTAGCTACCTGCATATAGTCATCATTCATGCAGCAAATGTTTTTCATTCTCCCTATCTTAGTTTGTCGTCCTACTGCACACATTAATGGATTCTTACATATGAAGCCGAAAGTGAAGAACATCCTTAAGAACACAAGAAATATTTAGTATATATTTCAGTAGGGGCTCCTGAGCCCCTCCTGTTCCCTCAAAAAAAAATATTATATAGAAAAACCTTGGGGTTTCCACGTTTCTGGAGGCTTTGTGTGAGGTCAGACATGCATGCTCATTATAACTTGGGTTTCTATGTTGAGTTGATAACTTAGGAGAGTCTAATGAACTTAGGGTCTGCTTGTTTGACTTGTATCTTTTGAGCTTTTCGCTTAAAAGCTGACTTTCTAGCTTTTAGGTTTTGTTATTGGTTTTGTAATAAACTTTTAGCTTCTCGGCACAAAAAAGTTACAAAAGCTTCTGTTAGCATGTTTTTCAGTTTTAGTTTATCTTCTCCAAATCCATCTTTTCAAAAGCCAACTCAATAGGTGTGCTATTTGTTTCAGCTTTTGGCTTCTGAAGCCAGCAAAAAGCTGAAAAAAAGAGAGCTAGACCCTGTTTGATACATGTTCTCTAGAAAGCACTTCTCAGACAAGATGCACTAGTAGAGTAAGAGCAAGCTTAAAATAAGCATGTCCGATCTAGCTTATGTTTATTACTATAAAATGGGGTGGTGGGAATAATCCCGGTCGGACTAAGCTGCAAAAAAATATGCCAACTGACTATTAATTTTAGCTTATTTTGGCCATAAACAACTTATAAGTTGTACCAAATATGTATTTAGTGTACTTGCTTTTTGGTTGAAGCCAAAATCCTATGCGGTGTTTTTGCTCTGTCTAAAAATCTTCTGGTAGGGTCTAGAACAGCCCCTTAGAGAAGGAGCATTGTAGGAGCAAGGAGGCACCCTTTATTATTTCCCTTTGATAGATGTATTACATGATTTTTTTTCCCCGACAAGGTTCCTTCTGAAGCAAGTACCCAGAGTCTTCTCACTCTAAGTCAATTCCATTTCCGCGTTAAGGAAGCTGCCTCCCCAAAGGCACCTGCTCCCTGCTCTACTGTCTACTCCCACCTCCCATTTCCATCTATCCAAGAAGCAGAGGCCGGCAGCGGAGGCGGTGCTCCACCGGCTTCCTCCTCTTCGCTCATCGTCACACTCTCTCCTGAGGAGGCTGCCGGAGACTCGCCATGGCCGACGCCTCGGGCAATCCTGCCGGTATGCTGCTCAGCCTTGACATCTACCTTACCATTTCTGAAAACACAAAAACAAGGTCGATCGAAACGATAGGCAGTAGCGTGCAGACTACTCTCGTTTCCCTTGTGCGAATCACTTTGATTCTTCACTGGTTTTCTGTGTCTGCAGATGGCTACTACAGTGGCCGTCCCCTGGGCCTGGAGTACGATCCGCAACAAGCGCAGGCAGTGCCGGCACCGCCGCTGGAAGCAGCACAGCCGCAGCCACGGCAGGATGTTGGCGACCAGGTCGCCAACCACACTCATGTCCATGGCGTTCCTGGTGTGTGTTAAACAGATCCAAACTTTTCTTCTCAAATCTCACACCTAATCCCTCGCTTGACCTTTTCTTTCAAAGTCCTGTTTGATCCCAGTAGCGTCTGTCTATATGCAGTTTCAAGTGCTCTGTTTGATTCCTTTGATTTGGTATACGAGCAGGATACTATAAAGGCCGCCTTAGCAACACGAACACTGCTGTAGCTCCTCTTTCAGCAACAGCTGCTGTTGCTCCTCCTCCTCCTGCTCCTGCTGTTGAACCTGAAAGGAAGCTGAGCTGGATTGACAAATGGTAAGTAGCACGCAACGTCTGCTTCAATTGATATAGAAAATGGTACCATCTCTAGAGCTCAAGTATACTCACTGACGACGACACTGCTTTGTGTAACCTTAATTATTTTTGCTTGGTGTGGCGGTTTGTGTGGTTGCTATCTAAAGCCTCATGTGCTTCACCGGCGGCAGAAGCACGAGGTAGCTCAAGAGTCAAGACATCCGTGGTCGGCCACGTTATTGACGAAGTTAGAGCGAGATTGCACGGCTGTGCTTGCTTTGATGTATAGAGAAATGTTGAGATCTTTGTTAGTTCTTCCCCATGCTAGCGCTATTCATTTGTACAACTGCATGCACAATTGCAGATGCAGAGTCAGTGAATCTATTTATGATCCATCAGTTGGATTGTGCTTAATGATTTAAATCTGATCGTTTCATATGATTTGGTATATATGATGGATAAATAAACACCACGGTGATGGGCTCCTCTTCAGCTGCAGCAAAGTCTGATCTAGCTTCGAGGATATGGGGTGATTACTAATTAGTGCAATGAGCATGGTGCCAAAATGAGTCTCTCACTTGTCGATTGGTCAGTAGTGATTGGAGTTCAAATTAGGCACATTTATCCTCAAGGTTGTTGTCACTTGGATCTAGCATAGTTTGCACAAGATACAGCCTATTCGCTTGGTCGTAAACGGCTTGTCAGAACAGTATTTTTCTCTCACACCAAACCAGCCAGCAGTAATAATCCACAATCATATACGATCGTATACGCACCACCAGAACAGGCTGATACTTATGTACCTGATATAGTGCAACATGATCAACCGTCAGCACAATGGTATATTGTGTTCCCCTTCATCTTTGGTTGACTTAATGGCTGATCTCTGAATCAAGCTTGTAGAAATGTCATGAGCCACCCCCTGCTTTGAGTTCCCAGAGCAGTGGGATTTGATATTCCCCATCCATCCACACTACCTGAATATTTCAATCTTACCATGGTGCTCTAGAGTTTGGGGCATAGAGAGAAAAGGGTTAAGAAGATGAATGGGAGTTACATGAGACAGAAAACAGGTAGCAAAAAGGAGTAGGAGCACAATAAGATGGGGGAGGTAGGGAATAAGATGAAGATGGTGAGAAAGGGGAATGACAGCCATGTGCATGCTGACATTTATTTATAGAAATTGTGCAAAAATATTTTAAGTACCCTCATCTAATTTATATCTATAATATATGCTTTCTGTAGTACGAACAAAGGAGATATGAACTTAGCAATACGTCATATCACACATAAATATTTAAATTATACCAGGATATGTTGACATACCCTATTGTATCACTGCAAAATTCAATTATTTATTATATAATAAATATGAATTGACTAGTAAACAAATTTATTAATATTTATTCATTATGTATGAAATGGTTTTTTTTTTAACATAATAGGTGCCACAAACCAGTCCGTGCGTATGATTTTTAACAAACCAGTCCGCTGCTAGTACTCAACTACAACCATGATTTTGTAACTTGACTAATGGTATATGCAATAAACACTAAAAGATGATTTTTAGCAACACGGAACCAGAGGTCTAGAGCATTGGGCTGTTTTTATGGTGCCCTAGATTCCTCTCCCTAAGAACTTATATGTAAGTGATCATCCGGGACTTACAGTACAACTGTAAGGGCTACATGGCTCTGGCTTTAGCTCAGTATGAGCACTTTTTCTAGCTTGTTAGATGTTACCTTTATTGGCGTAAGAATGGCTTGACGAATCGGATATAGTGTGGCCTCTGTTCCCTTGTGTATAGGCTGCGCGTTATTGTGTCATCGGGAAGGAGGGCTCTACATCTATTTGCCGAGTGAATCTAATGGCCCTAACTTGTTAGACAAACCTTTGAAAGATTTTATAGTGAACCCTGCCGACCTTCCTTGGTAGTGGGTCAAGAGGCTGATCAACTCAGGTGAAAGGGTAAATCACGACTCACAGTGAAAGTGTACAACCTCTGCAGAGTGTAAAACTGGTATATCAGTCGTGCTCACGGTCACGAGCGGCCTTGAAACATTTACGGAATAGACGATGAACACTAATGATATGGATGATGAAGATGCTCACTAATGGTTAATTATTTATGCTATTCATTATTCATGTTTACCATATGGGCTTGTGATAAACTTGTTGCTACTCTTACGCTAAAATTATGACCATTAAAAGCTAATCGCAGTTAAAGCAGTGTCAGCCTTTTGAGCCTCATGAACCCCATATTATATTTGTTGAGTACGACATGTTCTTACGCTTGCTTTATTTTTCAATTATTTGGATAAAAATCCCGAATGAGTACCAGATTGCTAGAATTTGGAGGAATTAGGCTTGTGATCAACCAGTCAGTTATCCCTGTGGAATTGGAGCCTTCACCTGAAGATCGGAGTTGTCTTTCCGTTGTTTGCTATCTAATGTTATATTCTTTATACTAAATACGTTATATATTGAGCATTGTCTATTGATATTATCCTTATTTGTTGCTATATGTGATATTTGACTTTCTGAGCTCACATATGAGGTGTTTTTTGTTTTGTTATTAAAATCGGGTGCTACAATCCAGCAGTAACAAAAAGGCTCGAGGGATAAAAACAACGAGTCAGGTCAACCCAAAATGACAATTAGGCCCCTCCATGGCCCGCGCCTTAGCAGTGGAGGCAATGCTGAGGGCGCTGCCATGGGCCCACTGCAATGGTGACGGCGGGCCAAACTATGGTTTGGCTTTTGGCATGTTTGCTTGCTCCAGTGGTGCACGGTATGACACATGATGATGATGAGCCGAGAGAATTGGTTGGCTCGGCCGGCACTGGTCGTCGGCTCGCCCTCGTCGTCGCCTATTAACTTTCGGCTGGTGAGAACTGCCGCTAGCCTAGGGCTAGGAAAGCGTCTCTTCAGAGTTCGAGCGCTTATCCCACTGATTGACGGAGCACGCCCTGCTGATAAAACGTGGTGCAGGGCGTCTCCCCGTGTCTCGGTCGTTGTCGTCCCGCCGTCGGAGTCGGAGCAGAGGAGGCGGCTGTTCGGCGGCCACAAATCGGTCCATCTGCCATGGACGACTCTGGGCGTGATTGGTTGCTTCGGTGATGAGGAGCCGGGATGAAGAGGCAGCTCAGGATTGTGAGATGCATGCTCAAATCGTGCACCCAGTCGTGTTTGATTGTCTTTGTTGTTGGTCCGGTACGAGATGTGATTTTGTTTGGTTGCATGCATGGATAAGAGTTTTAAGTGTGTGACACATGGGCCCTTATACCATGAGTGTATCGTGTCGTCCTACATCAGGAGGGAAGTGGAAATTGAGAAGACGGAGCCGTGCGGGATGGTGGAGGACAGCGGAATGAAACGAAGCAGGCAAACCGTGCGAGGCGGAAAACCAAACACGACAAAGGAATGAGGTGAAGCAGGCAAAGAGTGCAAGAATAGTCAAGTTCGGGCAACCGATCAGCCCCTCTCACGGAGGTGGGTGCCACAAGGTTTACTGTCTCGCTCCATCCCTCTCTTTTCTCACTCTAATCAGCTCTCGTTTCCTGCGCTGCAAACATACATACAGGATACTTCATCGGCCGGCCGGCGAACAAGGCGGACGAGCCGCAACAGGCGACTGCTGCTGACGAATCCAAGTCTGCCAACACTCCGATTCCCGGGGGTACGCCACACCCACATGCATGCTCCACTGACCCAGACACACAGCAACGCACGCACCACACCATTATCGAGTTTGTTGAAAATATATGGTAACTTGGCCTTTTGACACGAACAAAGATTACTTCGTCGGGACACCGGAGAACCTTCGGCCGCAGGGGGGGACAGCGGCGACGACCAAACCAGCACAGCCGGCCGGTGAGCTCAAGCGATCAAGAAGCTTCATGGAATGGTACTCCTGCTGCTGAACGCACATCTCCTCGATCTGTTATTCGATATAGTTTCAAGTCTAATCATTTCTTACACGGCAGCTTCCCTTGTCTCGGCGGCGGACAAGTTGCAAACTAGACGATCGATCGGCAAGCCTAGCGGCGTGGTTGCTTGCAAGATTCAGCACAGCAATTTGGACAGGGGCGGGCGACACAACCCTCGACCTTACCTGAATTGCAGGTTCTGTGTCATATGGAAGATGCTCTGTTTTAGGCTTATCACGGAACTTGATACGCCTTGTTCATTTCACTCAAATGTGCAAATTTAAGAAAACTTGTTATCTAATCCGTATAATATTCTCTAGTTTTGCTTTGCTCAACCGTTCCAGTTCCTCGCTGTAAATTTTAATATGGCTATGAGGTTATTCCTGTATGGGTAAAATGGTAATAATAAAGTGACGTTGATCGAATTTTTACCTCTTGTGTGTCTTCACTGTGTGCTGTCCTATCGCATAGTTGAAAATAAACAAACTCAACTTTGAAAGTTCTTTCCTGCAAATTCACTGTATACATGTATGATACGAATGAGCTAGATGAGCCACAGGCCGACCCATAGTGGCCATACCTGCAGCTTCCCAATACGTTCCACACCCGGTTTGGACATGTGGTTGTTCAAAAAATTACTGTATCTGGAAATTGGGTCCCACACCCTGTTAGTACGCCTATTTTTGTGGTACCCATATGTCATTGGGTCTCATACCCTGTTAGGACAAGCGCAACGCCCAATGGACCTCGCCTCTCACCTCCTAACTCCATCCCCACAAAAATATGTCACTTTAACTCTTTTTAAAGCAAATCATAGTAAGTTTGATTAAAATTATATAAAAAAACAAACATTCTAATATTTATGATACCAATTAGGATCATTACAATTGTCATGAAATAGATTTTCATAGTTACCTATTAGGTGTAGTAAATATGAATACATTTCTATATACTAGTGGACAGGCACATGCGGCACGCACGTGTGTATAAAAAGTTCGTTGATAAAGGAGAAAAACATTGGAAAATTGAAAATTTCGAGAAACAATAGTGTACATTTGAGAGAATTCGTGTAGCAGGTGACAAAAATTCGGATATA